CCACACACACACACACCAACTCTTGCGCAAAAAAACGTTGAGTTCCATTCTCTGGTGGAAAAGTAGGTTTTATCGAGTGGGCCTGTCTTTTTGCGAGGATATTGTATCCCACTCAGTCCAGGTTTGCCTTGCCTGGCAGAGTCGAAGCCGCCCGTGTCCTGAATAATCATAAGTGTGTCGGCTGCGGCGAGGAATATAGCTGCTGGCTATAGTGCTGTCAAAAATTTGTGGCGCAACTTATTTTCAAATATCTCCTCAACTATCGAACATAAATTGTCCAGCTTTTGCACAGTGACTTGTATCAATTTGTCTTAACAGATCAATATTTTTGTAAAGACCTCTAGACTATTCTAGAAAATTCTTTACTAAATACTAATAAAAATCCTAGCGGGTGGTTTCTACTGATTTTAATAGGTTTGCAGCTGGGACAATATCGTTTTTAAAAGCAAGTCCGTCCTTTTTTCCTAATCGCGAGTTTATCTTTATTGAATTCATGTTCTGAGAACTTCTAGTGCAAAAAAGTGTTCACTATGAAATTAATTTCTTGTAACAAGTTTTGCCACTAAAAGTAAAAGTGTCTTTGGTGAGCTGTGACGTAACCCATATGCTTTATGTTCATGTTATCTTGTTGTTGTTTTTTTCTTCGTTGTTATTCTTTGTTTTAAGAGAGGTTAGGAATGAAGGCGGCTTTAAATAGAACAATAATGTCCTGCAGATGCTATGATATCAGTGGATGATCAAGATTGTTTTCTATTTTAAACATATTAAAGTCCCAGAATCAGCTCATGTGTGTAATGGCTGGATTTGGAGAACATGCGACTGTACGTCTTTGTTGTTAGTTTAGTGTGTCTCTCCATGCACTTGGAAGTTAACTCCCGTCCATTGAATGACAGGGTTCGAACTTCATGCATGATACAATATCTGGAGGAAAATTCAAAGTACTGCATTCGTACAGCTAAAATGTCTTACGCTTATTTTGTTATGATAAAAATATACAACATGTGTGTGAACAGTTCTGTTTTCCGCGTGAAGGAGGTTTGTAGTATTTTATATAATCTTATGAAGCGAAGAAAAGTTTTTTTTAGTCTAGCCTCAGTTGTTGTGGGGAAAATATGATTAAGTTTAGACAAATTGAGACTAACTGGTGTGCAAAGTATGGGTGACATTGATTTACCCGTTATAAAGATGTTTGAGGATGAGTTTCGCCAGGTGGGTGGTTGGCGGGTGCTCTGGTGTGGTTTGCTCCTTCTTTCCTATTAAAAAATATATCGTCTCTATCTCCTCTCCTTCTTTTTTGTGTTTGTCACTCTCTTGTAACACATCTAATCTTCGGCACTCATACGACCTTATTGTGTTGCAAGTGCCGTAAAACACTTACTTTAGTTGCGCCACGAATTTTTGACCACGCTGTAGTTTGTAAAAAGAACTTTAAAAAAACCCCATCGTATTTAATACTTTTTTTTAGCGCCGGAGTACAGAAGTCGGGTTTTTTTTTTCTTTCTTAATATTTTGGTCCTATACGTATTGTCTGTTTTGTAGTCTTTCTCCTCATCGACTTGTCGATAATTCTAATTGAAAAAAAAAGGAATTTAAAAAACCGGGTTTCCGAAAAATAATGTGAACCAAACTCACAAATGAGTGGGAGCCGTCTCCCTTCCCATTTTTTACAGTATTGTTGACGTCTGCTTTGAATAGCATGGATTTTTTGAGTTCAGAAAAGTGGGTGTGAAAAGGTGGGAAGGGGGGGTCTTGGACAGTGCCCACCATATTGACCCGTTGCGTGGGTAGTGTCTCTATTTTGGTTTTGAAAAGTTGACCACTGTGTAGTAGCAGTTAAGTGGGTATTATTGTTTATTTTTAGATCTTATATTTTTGTTCTTCTGCTAAATTTACGAAATAGTACAAGTTACCGCCTTTTTTAAAACGTTTATAGTATGGATCGTACTTTTGAATTCGGGCCTGAGCAGATTATTCTTCCAGCTGGTGCGGAATAAAAATTAACAATGTAGATACGAGACTCAGCTCTTATGGGATTTACAAGATTAACACTTCTCAAATGACTTCCATCCATTTAATGGCCATGAGATCCCGCGTACAGCAAAGGGCACTTCGGGGGTTTCGAGAGCAGCATTATTAAAGGAGATTGTGTTTTGTGTGGATTGACGTCAGATGCGATTTATCTCAGTTTTCTGCCGAGGTTTCATTGTAATAGTTAATAGATCTAGGGAAATGCTAACGCGAGAACTATACGTAACATATATTTTATGGAAGTGAAGACATAAGACGTGTGTTGCCCACACATTTGTTTTTATCTCCCCCCCCCTCTCCATCCCCTGCTCTGTTCGTTGTTTGTTTCTATGTTGTTGTTTTTTCGAA